TCCTGACAAGCTTTCACTCCTGGGAACTCACTGTGAATCTGACTGGGGCCACATAATAAGGCAGTGTAAGCAGGCATAAGGGAGGTAAAAATAAACAAGAGGATGTGTGTCTTGGGGGAGAAATATTTTCTTGATGGATTAGGGAGGAGGCAGGAGATACACAGAAAACTACAGATTACCAAGATGGAACCATCAGCCACTAACCACTGGTCAGGGTAGGACATCCCAATAAGGAGGTTTCAAAAGCAGACACAAGCCTTGATTTACTCAGGATGCCTCACTGTTGGGTTTCTTTTCCTTTTGCTATTACAAGGAGCTGAGACAATGTTTCCTTGAAATACACCTAACAACCAGGTGGGTAAGGGGCTTTGAATTACTTGATATGTACCCCCCTCAATGGTAGTTACGACTGAAAAACATGCCAAGATATCATCTGCTTCACTCTTTAGTGAAGAATGGTAGCGTAGTGCCTAAGGCACTTGACTGCTAACCAGAAGGCTGGTGGTTCAAACCCACCAGCCACTCCTCGGAAGGAAGATGGGGCAATCTACTTCCGTAGTGATACTGCCTCGGAAACCCAAGGAGGGGTCGCCATGGGTCGGGTCAACTTGACGGCACATAACAACAACAACAAACCTCGAAAGACAAATGTGTTACTTCTGCCTCACTTTGATATTACCAACCTATCCTCACAATTTGCTATACTGTAATTACTATGTGTGTGTATATATATATGTGTGAAAGGTTAAATTTATATTTCATTGTATACTTTTATTGTCTCTGCTATGTCTGATTCAGTTCCTTCTTTTCGTTGTACCTGGATAGAATTAACCATTAGCTATTGATGCTGTACCATTGTTCCAGAATGATTCTGGGAGAAAACATTTAGATAAAATGGGGGACCAGGAATGATGGAGCCTCTAAAGAGGAGGTCAGAGGAACCTCTTCCAGACATGTTTCAAAATATATATTTAAGTCCTATTACAGTCTCTTTTAATGAAAAGTGATATGACTTTATAAGTGTGTGTGAGCCTGTCACCCAACAGTTGTAGATGATGATATAACCTTTGCATAGTAAAACTGCTATTTTATATTATGGCGAAAGGGCAGGGATCAACTGACTTAGACTCTGTGAACCTTTCTGGCTTTGTACAAAGTAACTCACTGCCATCGAGTCGGATCTGACTCTTAGTAAATGTTTTGGATGGTTTTATGATGCAAGCAATTGCAGGCCTGGCTTTTTACAAGTGCAATCTTGTACCCAAAGATATTTTTGTGGGTTAAGAATGCAGGACTACCAGTTTCCAGTGGTAGTTTTTAAATCCTATAGTTTAAAAAAAAAGAAAAAAAAAAGGTGCATACTTGCTTTCTGGGCAGAATCTCTCCATGTTATTGCAGGCTGATGTACCTCTCCCCTGTGGGCCTGGGCTGCCTTCCTACCTTGCTACACGGAGTGCTGGGAGGGGAATCCAGCTGAAGCTTTGAGGAACCTGAGAGAGTGATTGTGCTCTAATCTTCCAAATTGTAACCCCTCTTCCCTCACCCAGGACAAATGTTCTTTCAAGACCGCAAAAATCATGCTTTTCAAGGTTGGCTGTGCTTAGAAGGAGAAGAAATGAGGCAGGATGGCAGCTGAGCAGTCCCCAGAGCTAAGACTGACTTACTTTGTGTCAAAAATTTCTTCAGTGTCTGAGTGTATGGCAGTTCTGTCTCAAATGTGCTCAAGTATACTTAAATGACCCTCATAAATAAAATCATTTATAAGTTGTTATAATACTGAAATTAACAGAATGCAGAAATTGTTGCAAAGTAAATAATTTGCACAGACCATGAGGAGTAACAGCAGAGTGGGTGCATTCTATACACACAGGGGAAGCACTTGAATAGAGCTTATGAGTTCTTACAGCCTAAGTGTCCACATCATGCTAAGTTTCAGTAAAATAATTAGTTTTTTAAAATTACTTTTTAGGTTTAAATAATGCTAAGTCAAAACAGGGTAAATTGCATAAACCAGACCATATCTACTGCTGTCAAGTTGATTCCAACTCATAGGACAGAGCAGAATTGCCCTATAGTTTCCAAGGCTATATATAAATCCTTACAAAAGAAGACTGCCACATTTTTCTCTTGCTAAGCTGCTGAAACTTTAGTTTGCAGTTGAGCACTTTTAACCACTGTGCCACCAGAGTTCTCTTAGTGACATAGAGATGACTACCAAATGAATACACACACACAAAAAATGCCTAAAACAGATATATAAGACTAGTTATTTAAATGACACATTAACATATAATTCAATGATGATGTTAAAAGAAAGTATGCTGCAGGGAAGGGGACTGGGCAGTGCCATACTTTGGGCCCAGCATTTCAATCAGTAGGGCCTGTCTGGGAGTAATCTCACAACATGCACCAAAAAAATCCCAAAATTATGCATAGCCTCTTACCCAATAATCCTACTTTTATACAATTATCCACATTGGTTGGCACCAATACATGTGAAAAGATTTATCCACATGATGTTCACTTCTGGATTATTTATAATAACAGAAATGTGGCAACAATTATTGGGTGATAAACAGGTATTTCATGACCTGAGAAAATGTTCATGAGAATACTGCTAAATAAAAGAGCAGTTTGCAAGTGTATGTTCAATGTGAACTCATCTTCAAAAACATAGGTATACTCATAAATGCCTAACAATAGCTTGAAAGAATCTGTACCAGAATATTAATGAATATTACCCAATACTTTTGTTATACTTATCTTTAATGTCCTAAGGGCCTCAAATATTCTTCAATGAAAATCTATTACTTATAATCAGATAACCAAAACCAAAAAACCAAACTCACTGTCATCTAGTTGATGCTGACTCATAAAGTTAAAAGCATTGCGTGATGCATTATTTATGCTTACTTGCAGGTAGAAACATTATGTCAAAGGCCATCTATAAGAATCTAAAATTAAAAATATTTGGAGAGTAAAATATTATTTATTTAATGATATGGTTTATTCCATTTCATTGCAACAGTCAATTCTTTTACACAATTTATTTTTTGATTAAACTTACTATGTAAGTAAAGGAATTTAATATCTTAAGTAACCTCCAAGTGTGGACAAAATATACAGACAAAACAGCTACTGGTGCAAAGCAATGTTGAGCTCCTCTGCTGCCTATAGACATGTTTTCTAAAGAAGCAGAAATTAACACATAAGAATGTAATTGGATCTTGTCTCTCTAGTTCTCTCAATCAGCACCTGTCAGAGGACAGATGGAGAGGAGCTCTGTCTTTGGGAGACACAAGCTGATGGAGAAAGTAAAAGTGATTACACCACAATGTGATGAGATCCCAGAGGAGAACAGAGAGTGTTACCACTCAGGTGAGCTCAGCAGAGCCATATGAGGAGTCAGCACAGGAAGAAGGAAGGCCTGGGAGGGGGAGAGTGTGGCGTGACTCCAGAGCTAACCTAGAAGCTTTGCCTATGTATCACCTACTACTCTTTGTTGTTGTGTCATTGAGTAGATTCTTACTCAATAAGAGAGTAGATGTGCCTCCACAGTTTATCAGGCTGTAGTCTTTACAAAAAAATCATCAGATTTTTTTTTTTTTCCTGTGGAGTGGCAGAGGTTCTAATAGACAATGTTTCGGTTAGCAGCTGAACGTTTAACCATTGTGCCCCCAGGTCTCCTTCCACTAATCTTAAGAAATAGAAAAAACATTGCTCTCCCTTTGCATAATCAGAGCTTGCATTTATTTCATGGCACTTTTCACTTGCTAATCCAATCTTCACTATTCATTGAGGGCATGTTATGTGCAAAGAAATGTACTAACTGCTATGACACATTTAAAATACATGAAGATAAAATCCCTGCCCTCAGAAGCTCACATCTAGTAACTTCAAACAATGATAATATGAAGCATATTAACATAGGCTCCATGTATCTTTCATCTGTATCTCCCTCAATGCCTGATGAAAAGATGTTTAATGAATGCTTGGCAAATGACAATGTTCCTTATTCTTTTGGTGCCATCTTATTTACTGCTCCAAAAGGAATTCAGTAGTTTCTTTTGTCTTCTTTCTTTCACTTTTTTTTTCCCTTGGTGAAAATACACACAAAACAATATATACCACTTCAAAAATTTCTACATGTACACTTTAGAAAGATTAGTTACATACTTCAAGTTCTGCCATCTTTCATGACAGCATTTTCCAAACTATTTCACCATTAACAAAAACTCACTGTCCACTAAGCCTGTTATATGTCCTTTAGAGTCACTGTTGTCAGTCTGATCTCATATAAATAATTATTTAAAAGAGTATACTTCTTATCTAATTAGGCTAAACTATTACGATTCAAAGATGACTTTTGGGGGTAATTTCAGTCCAAGGTTTAAAGATTTCTTCAGGGAATAGATTCATGGGGTCAGCTAGCCTCAATGGCTCCAGGAAGTCTGGATTCCATGAGAATTTAAAATTCTGTTCTCATTTTCCACCTTTTGATAAGTATTCTCCTTTAGAATCCTTGATCTAAATGTTCACTAATGGTACCCATCCACCATCCAGTTCTTCAGGTCTCAATGCAAAGGAGGCAGTTGTTCATGGAGGCAATTTGACACTTAATACATTTCCTCCACTAGGGCATTCAGTAGTTTCAAGATTTTTAAATGTACTTCCAGAATTATTCTGACATGAAGAATCTTTATATTAATAATTCACAATGATCTAATCTCCATTCATTAATCTAAATGTTTTAGGACAGTTATGTTCTTCCACATGTTTTGTGTGATAAAATAAGTCTAGATTTATTAATCCATCTTCACAAACCAACCATGATCTAACAAGGAACTTCTTGTCTTCCATATATTTTCCTTGCACCTTATACCAAAAGTAAATGGAATGTGTGAGTCACCCTCCTCTCCACTCCAGGTAAGCACACAGCTCAAAATCATTGTTCTCAGATATACAGAAAGAAATAAACAATGTGGATGCACCTTTTTTACTCTCCAGAGACAAAGATATTTAGATGTTCACATGTCATAACTGAATTCATGTGGATCTTTGAATACTTGGGCTTCAAATTCCATTTGGCTCTGTAAAGTAAAAAAATGCTCAAATTAGTATAGCATTCCAGCAAAAGAAGAACTAAACAAAGTGTATCCACAAAACAAAAAGTTACTGCCATCGAATTGATTGCAACTCATAGTGACCCCCAACGGATTTCCATAGCAGTAAATCTTTACAGAGTAGATTGCCCCAACTTCCTTCTAATGAGCAGCTCATGGGTTTGAACCACCAACCTTCTGGTTAGTAGTCAAATGGCTCAGGTACTGTGCCACCCTACATGTCTCCTTAATGTCTGTGAAGAGAGACAGGAAACCAAGGGAGGGTGGGAATCAAGAGCTTCTGATTTTTTACTCACATGGTGCTTGGGATACAGTCAGAGCTAACTATATTCTGAGCACCATGTTTGGTTCTGGGACACAACAATGAAAAAGACCACATAAACTTAGTTCTCAGGAGTCTCCAATATAACAAGGGAGATGAGCCAGAAGACTGGCAAGAACACTGCAAGATGATGAGTGCTCTTCTTGGATGAGCATCAGGTGAGATTTGGGGTCACAGCCAGGCCAAGGAAAGGCCTGGAGGATTCTTCCTGGAAGAGAAGCTGGACTGAGAGCCAGAGTGGGAAAGGACATGGTCCAGAAAGAAAAGAATCCAAAAGCATACGTAACATTCATTAACAAGTTAGAAATGAAAAAGTTGAAAGATATGGTAGGATGTAAATCTAGATAATACTTTCAAGAAACTAACTGAGAAAAGGAGTCACTAGGCAGGACATAGCATGAGATGTGTAACTAAGGTAAGTTCTCTCTTTCCTCCCTCCCTTTTCTTTTTTCCTCCTTCCCTTCCTCCCTTCCTTTTCATCCATCTACCTATTCATTCCATCTACCCATCAAAGGAAGGGCACATCTGAATCTGTTTAAATCATGGAGAGGTTTCAGCAGACAGCAGAGAGGTTGAAGACAGAAGATAAAAGTAAAGTAAATGATAAAGTAGTTTCTGAGGAAATGGAAAGAGATAGATCCAGAATTCTCCAATAGGTACTTGTGGAATTCACTCATTCACTCACTCAACATTTATTAGGCACCTACCATGTGCTAATACTCCAAACCCACTGCCATGGAGTCAGATCGGACTCATAGTGACTCCCCCCTTGGGTTTCCAAGGCAGTATCACTATGGAAGTAGATTGCCCAATCTTCCTTCTGAGGGGTGGTTGGTGGATTTGAACTGTCAGCCTTCTGGTTAGCAGTCAAATGCCTTAGGCACTACATCACCAGAACAGTGAGCAGCTGAGTAGCTGCCTTAGGGATATGGTCTGCTTCCATTATATAAGAAGACACTTTGAGAAAGGTCTCTGAGCTTCTTGGCACATCTGGATCCTATATTTGGCTGAGTCTTCATTTCAATGAGATTGTTAATGGACTTGAACTAGTGGCTTGCCATGTTGCTTAATAATCTTGGTACTGCCATTTTACTTGTTGACCTTGGGTTTGCCAACCTCAGCAGCCAGCAGCTGTCTAAGTTAAGAGAAGCCTCCAGCTTCAGTGGGCCAGGAGCAAGAGGCAGAGATTAAGTCCAAGGTCAAAGGGCTTTCACCCAGCCTCTAGAACTGGCACTCTGAACTTGGAATTCTAGCCTCCTAAACTGGAAGAGAATAAACTCCTGTTTGTTAATGACATCCCCCTATGGTATTTTTCTGTCACAGCAGCACTAGATGACCAAAACACCATTCTTCTTTTCACGAGTAAAATGAGGGTGTTGAGATCATGAGACCAGAAGAACTAGATGGTGACTGGTTACCACTGTCAATCACTCAGAAAGGGATCTGTGCAGGAGACCCTGGATAGCATGGGAAAGCAATATGGAACAAAACCCAATATCATAAAAAGACCAGGTTTACTGGTCTGATAAAGCCTGGTGAGACCTTGGAGACTATAACCTCTAGTTATCCTTCAGGTCAGGAATTGAATTCACTTTCATGGCTTTCACCCAAACAATAGACAGGCATATAGGATGAACATTTATATCAGGTATATATATTGTTCAGAACTACCAATAATGGGAATAACCCATACCACAACTGCTTAAACCACACAGAATTGTGGTCCAGCCAAGTTGACACACAGATCTACCCCTTGTCAACTTGCCAGTTGTACACATCTTTTCGACCATATATAATCTCCAAATAAGGACAATTATAAAGTCATATTTGTGCCTAACATGATATGCTACACGTGTACAACTGAAACACCTTAACCTTAAGGCATTTGACTGCTAACCAGAAGGCTGGCGGTTCAAACCCACCAGCCACTCCTTGGAAGGAAGGTTAGGTAATCTACTTCCATAGTGATGCGGCCTTGGAAACCCAAGGAGGGGGTCACTATGAGTCAGATCTGACTAGACGGCAGTGAGTTTGGTTTTGGAGTTTACCATGTGCTAGGCACAGTATATGGGGAAGTAACTGTGATTAAAAAAAAAAAAAAAGTGTTCCTCAGGGAATGTACAATTGAGTGGTGAGACAGGCAATGAGTAAAATATCATTGTGGGTAACGATAAGTACTGTGAAGAAAATAAGGCAGGGTTAGGGGATGGAGAAGGAGGAGTAGTTAAGAAAGTCAGGATGACACAGTGAAGAAGTGAAAGAAGGGTGGGATTGAAGCCTGGAAAAGCCTGGGAAAAGAGCATTCAAGGTAGAGGCACTGAAGTGCAATGGGCTTGATGGTTTGAGAACACCAAAGAAAGGCAGATGCAGCTCCAGTGTTAAGAGAGAATAGGGGAGAGAGGAGATGAAGTTAGAGGAACAAAAAATGCTGATGTACGTACTTTAGAACCTCACTGCAAAGAAAGACCAGCCAAAAAAGGACTTTAGTCATGTGATCCACCACTAATCATCAGTCAAGAAGTCCTGGGTTTTTATTCTGGTCATGGTTCAGTGAAAGTACTACCATTACCTTTGGATCAGGTAAACATGGTCCAAAAGCTTCCAGCAGAAGAGTCTCTTCTCTCACAGCTTGTTCATAGTCTGCAAAAGACAGCTTCCCATCGTGATCATGGTCCTGGAGGGGAAAAGCCACATGCTATTCAACATGTTAAAAAATGCTTATCTGCAAGCAAAAATTATGTTTTCAAAGTAAAGTGTTAATAGAAGAAAGAAGACAGGAAAATAAGAGATCAAATAATGAAACTGAAAGAAATTTTTAAATTATATTAAGAGGACATCATTCAAGTGTTTTATTTCACCAGGCAGGAATATGATGATTGGAAAAATTCTAGTTCTAATTTCCATCCCATATCTCATCTGTCAATTTCAATATAAACCTTAGTTTATCCATATTTACCATTTTCTTAAGTGTTATTTCAACCAAATCTTTAATTCCCTCATCAGGATCTTCTTCAGATGGCTGCTTGAGCAGGCTATTCTTCAACATGTGAAACATTTCTTCCTTTGAAATGAATCCATCACCATTCAAATCAAACACTTCAAAGCAATCTTTTAAAAAAATAACAAATAATAAATTTGATACTATCACCAAGGTAATATTTGCTCTGATAAAAATTTTCAAAGGCAAGACCTATATTATTGATGCATTTATCAACCCCGTGACTTCTATAGTAAGGGCTTCAGATATACTAGCAGAATATATTCAGTAACCTTTGGAGTATGTTTCCTTACACTCAGCTATGAAAATTATGCCAATGAATATTGACATGGACATTTTTATCCTCTAACTCTAGGGTAATTTACCAGAATGGAATTCTTAAACAGAGTCAATCAGAAATAATAATTAATTAACTAAGTAAGAATATGAACATTTGAGTCAATGTTTCATGGTTTTATTGTCATGATTCAAGTAAAAAAAAAAATATGTAAAATGCTTAACACTTAAAAACATATGTAAAGAGTTAGGATGTGTAATATATGCCTGTGCAGTCTTGCTTGCCATGAATTACTCCTCAGAATATATTGATGTTCCTATTTACTGATTTTCTTATTCATTTCTTCTCATTGACTTGAATTCACTCAAGAGGTACATACAGTGGGCATTAAAACAGACAAACCCACACACCTCATTGACTGACTTAAATACTTGAGATATGTTTAACCTTTATGTACAAATAAAATAATTTGCCTAAAGTAGGATAAGCTGAAATCTTACATTTCATTTTTTCTTCCAAAGACCCTCGAAGAAACAGTGATAATCCATTAATCCACTCTGCTATGTTGACACAGCCATCGTTATCTTTATCAAAACCTCGGAACACTAATGAGAGAGATGTGCAACGTCATACTTGTAAGGCATTTTCACACTCAGGAATGGACTTACACTATTATTTCTCTCCTCAAAACCTTGAAAAAACTTCAGGATCATGTAGTCTAATATCAGGCAACTCTTTCAGGTAAACTTTCACATTTTATCGTCATATTTTGTGAGAATAAAGAAAATCCTAAACATTCAAATATTTTGGTAATTAATATATCTAAAGAAATTAATAGTAACATTAATTAATATAAAATATACATTTTTTGGTACTTGAGAATAAATGGACTATATTTACATTTTTATTGAAATGCTTTCTATGATGTAAATAAATTTATACATCCTCTAAAAACCACTTCAATTACCATTATGTTACTAAGAAGAAATATAACTGTTCTCAATTTTCTGATAAAGGAAAACCTGTTATTCAAACTGACATTACCCTCTTCTTAAATACATAAACTGGAGTGGATTTCATCTTTTTCATTCTAATCTCTACAAAATTCAATTTTTATATTCACACGAACTTGGAAATATAGAGTATTACATGTTCCCCCAAGAACACGTCCCAGCTCCAACCTCTTTTCTTCATTATGGCTGGATTTGGCCTTTTTGATCCTTTCATGTCTTCTTACCTCTGTCCATAATCATGTCATCTGTCATCCCAAACGTCATATGCAAGATGTTCCGAAATGCATTGCGATCCAGTCCAACAACTGTCCCAGGTCGTTCTGCTGCATCTCCCACCAAGGTATAAAAAAGATTGACTAGGCAGTTCACTTCATATGTGTTAACTGTGGAAGAACAGAATTGAGATAAAACAAAATTGATTATTAACTCTAACTTGCATTCAGAATTAATGAGATTACAGACAAACAGCACCAAATGTATCAAAATGTAATCGTCATCAGAAGACTCTCTTATTTTAAGGTTTATGACTCTTAATAGAAGATGGCCAATGCTACACTATCCACTAAGATAAAAGAAGTAGCATTACCTCCAAACAGGAGTTAAAATATTAAACAGCTGTAAGTTCAGTCATGTTTAGAAAAAAAGAAGAAAAGAATATTAGCCAAGTTACCAAAATAATGATTGTGGGAACAGATCTTAAACATCACAAGGCAGGTAGATGCATGTCTCAAAATAAAAGAGGTCTCTTAAGAATGGTAAGGAGCTCTGTTGGTATAGTGGTTAAAACATTTAGCTCTTAATCAAAAGGTTGGCCCACCAACCACTCCTTAGGAGAAAGATGAGGTAGTCTTCTTCTGTAAAGATTTATAGGCTTGGAAACCCTACAGGGTAGTTCTACTCTATCCTAAAGGGTTGCTATGAGTTGGAATTCACTTGATGACAATTAGTTTGCTTTGGGTTTTTAAAGAATGGTAATATTCCTTTTCAGCATTTTGAATATCCGGATTAATGAGATTTATGATGGCAGTGAGATTTTTTTTTTTTTTTTTAATGACTTATCTATATGCTAAATTCCTTTTCTCTGGAAATGGTTACCAACCCCCTGAAAATAAGGCAAGAGTTTTCAATTTAAACCAAAAATCTGTTGTATCGAGTGATTCTAACTCATATCTACCCAATAAGCCAAAGTAGAACTGCCCGGTCAGGTTTTGGCCAGAGTGTAACTGCTTGATAAGGTCGTGGTGCAGTTGTTAACCCCTCTGCTGCTAAAAATTCAGTGGTTTGCTCTTATTAGCAGTTCCAAGGGAGAAAGATGTGGCCAGTCTGCTTCCATAAAGATTACAGCTTTGGAAACCCAGCAACGGGTTTAGTTTTTGGTTTCGAATCTTTACAGAAGCAGACTGCCACTTCTTTCTCTTTCAGAGGTGCTGGTGGGTTTGACCACCCACATTTCAGTTAGCAGCCAAGCTCTTAACCATTGTACCACCAAGGCTCCTTCCATTTCATAAGCAGAGGTCTGGAAATCAGAATCACCTATTTTTTTAATGAAGAAGCTTTTCAGTATACAATGGCATCACTGGGGAAAGTGGAAGGGTGTGGCCACATCCCTTGAAACTGACAGAGGAGATGACACCAAAATGACTCCAGGACCTGTAGTGGTGGTGGTAGCAGCAGCAGTAGCATCAGTCGGCAGACAGAGGGAGGAGGCAGTGGCATCACTAAGGTTGGTGTCACTATCCAGTATAGGAACTCATCACACCCTCCCCCTGCCAGTCAGGGTGTGTGGGTGGTTGACCCAGAGCCCACCCTGGTCAATGGGAGAGGGAAGGAGTCTCTGCTGGTACTGGCCCAAAAGGGTGGGTTCAACGGCCAGCCACATCCATGGGGAATGACACCATGAGTTACCATACTGTTGTTGTTGTTGTTGTTATGTGCCGTCGAGTCAAACCTGACTCATAGTGACCCCTCCTTGGGTTTCCGAGGCAGTATCACTACAGAAGTAGGATTGCCCAACCTTCCTTCGGAGGAGTGGAGTTACCATACTAGGTGACACCAACCCTAGTGAGGCCACTGTAAATATTTTCTAGTACCCAATATGATTCCTGTTGTAGACCATTTAAAATTAACATGCAACTATTCAGTAGTGCCTTAGAGGAAGGATATTTTTATTTAAAGTGTGTGTGTGCACACACACACACACACACACACATACCTCCTCAGACAAATAATTCTTTAAAGGATGGTGTTCCAATGCTCATTTGAGGTCTGTAGGAGGAAGGGTTATTGGCTGGCAATGAGTCAAAATATGAGTATGGGCAGAAGATGGGGGAGATTTTATTTCAAAATGAAATGAAATTACAGTTGAGTATTAAAAAAAAAAAAAAGTGAACTCTGTGTGCACATTCAAGAGCACAGCACATAGGAATTCATCTTTCCACACCAAGCATTGCTCTGGGCCTAGTTTAGGATTACTTCTGGTTTCGCACAGGCAATTTAAAAGAAACTTTGAAAACTTGGGGGCGGGGGGGGGGTAACTAACTAAAAGATTGAGTAAATAAACTGATTAAAGAATAGGAAAAATATGAATAATTATGATATAAAAAGTTGTTAATGGTTAGGGAAGGAAAGCCTATATGAGGAATTGTATACTAACTCTGTGAAATGGAAATAGCATTCTCCCAACTTGCCTGAAATATAAATGAAAGAAAATTAACTTAATACCTGAATGATCAGAAAGTTAGCCATAAGAAAGTTCTTTCTTGCTGGTATGTTTCTCAAATTCTAGAATACAATACTAAATGAATTAAGGGGAATTCAAGAATGGGTTTTCATCTTTTTGGAATAGTGTACATGTGTCTTGAAGATCTGTAGAATGGTAGATTAACTAAATGATCTCTTAAGATCCTTTCTTCTTCTCTGATTATACAAAAATTTTCCATTTCATCCTGGTGATATTATCATCTGGGAACTAAAAAAAAAAAAAAAATTGAACTTCAGGGGAAGATCTCTTATTTAAAGAAATACAAATTAAATATTGTCTATGATTTGTAACTATCTCTATGGAATTTGACTGGTAAATCAAAGTTTCTAAATCTCACCTCTGAAAAAATTATCTTTTAAAAAAATTATCTAAGGGCAGAAACTGAAAAAGTTGACTTTTTTCTTCCCATGTTTTTACTTACCTTTTGAAATATGCACTCACCTTTCAGTTGTTCTTAGATGTCTTATTTGCAATATATTTCAAACTTACTGTACAAGAACTAAATCATATTCAATGTTATGTACAGTAGTTATTGCATTGTTTGTGATTCTTTATTAAAAATGTTTACTAGATATTTTAAAAAATACCTGGTCTTTTCTCAGAAACGAAAGCATTTTAAGGAAAACAACAACAGGAGAGAACAACAAGAAACTCTCATCAGATTATAATAATCTAATAATTCCTTAAGTTACAGCATGCATTTTTTATAAGTTTAAAATGCTTATACACACCCTTTTATTTACAGCACCACCTCATAAGAGTAATCACACTTATTACATTGGATACAATGATTAGAAGGCAGTGGATCCTCTAATCTCTAGAACTATACTAAAACTTGAATTATGGCTACTCCTGTTTCCTCAAGTGGCCAAAAGTTTTGCAATCAGCACTCAATTTTACGAGATTGCTCACATCTTCCTCATCTAAGTCATATTCATGCCTGCAAGTAGTTTTGTTTTTCAGTCTTAATATAATCCTGAAGTTCCTATGAAGTTCTAGGACCTCCTGTTATCACCTGTGATTAGGTAGATATCTTTAACAAGCACTCTTGTCACCCGCAAGTCTACTTTACTTTCCAACTCTACCAACAACTGGAAAGTGGAAGACTAGAGTTGGAAATAGATGCATTACCATGCATTTAGCTTTGTTGCTTCTTTGGTCTTCAAATACCTCTTTGCTATGAGATGCTTTCTTATGCCACTTTAACTCTTTTTTTTTTTTTCCTGAAAACGTTCAGACATTGATAACCACCTTCTTTATGGTTCTCTTGCTAAGCTTCTAGAACTTGGATCATGCAGGTTTATTTCCTCTAAAAACAGCTAAAAACAGGATAAGGTGCACGCATCAGTTGCTTGTGTAACAGTTAAGTCTGGTGGTCTTTTGTACTTATTTACATTTTTATCTGAGACCAAAACCACCTCTTGTCTCCTGGGCATATACATCATTTTTCTGTGAGGTAAAAAATAATAAAAGGGTTTGAGAAGCAAAGAAACTCATGCATGGGAGTGTAGTGCTGCTAGATGTCTAAACACCCTTTAACTATCCTGGGTGTGTGTACCAGTCCCAAAGGCCTACAACCCCGAGATTCCCTCCAGGCTTAATCTTTGTGTGTGGCGCGCAGAAAGGCACCAGTAGCATGGGGCTCCAGTCATGGAGGCTCTGGAAGCAGGAAGCAGCGGGCATTAGCACTGGATCTGACCTGCTCCAGGAGCCTCTGTCTTTCCACTACTTGCTTCTTACTTACAATGTTTGCAATTTTTAGTTAAGGTGTCCGTTAACTTCTGCAGTTTCTTGCGATTCATGCTGGGCGCTTAGGGAATCTAGCCGTGGTCAGTATCTTGGCTCGCGCTGCCAGGACCCCCAGGAGTCCTGGGGCTGGGGCAGCTTGGCTGGCCCTCGCAGCAGGGGGCGCGTGCACCTCCCTAACACTTAGTGTAGCCAAGGCAACGGCTGGGCGGGCACCGATTGGCTGCAGGCTGAGGCGCGCAGGCTGGCAGAAGGTCCATTACACAGTGTGGCCATGGCAACGGCTTTGCCAGCAGCGGATTAACTCTTCCATTGAATTGGGCACGTGGGACTGTCGCCCTGTTTGCCTTGAGAGACCTAGCCAGGCTCGGTTCATATTGTATTTTGCTTACTAATGGTGGCTTTCTAATTCTCAGTCATTACTATAAATACTCAAGTTTAAAAATATGTTACACGAGCCATGTGGGGATTGTTTTGGGTGGTGAGAGTTATACCTCTAGTTGAGGCTTAAAATCTCCCACGAGACCTGAGGGAAAATGGAGCGGCTTGGGGAAATGGCACGTGTGCTCTCAGACTATGGCCTGTGTGTCTGTCCTGCAGGACCTGAGTAGCTGACTCTTCAGTTAAGCTGCTTTTGGTTTTCAGCCTTTTGGCTACAGTGCTAGGAGGGAGTTGTTAGTCATGTGACTGGGAACAAGAGGAAATTGGGATTTTTTTTTTTTTTTTTCAAGTTTTTCCCTATGGGGTAGGAGATACCAAGTAGAAAAACCACTGGCAATTTTTAAGTTAAAGAGGCAGCCTCTTCAGTAGAGACAAGCTGACGACAATACAGCTTGGCTGTGGGGTGCAAGAGACTTGCCTTTCTGGAAATTAGCCCAGGAGAATTGATCATTTAGTTATCTTAAAGACTGATTCTGACTGCAAACAAAGGACAGTCCTTACATCTTTTGTGTGGGAAGACTTTCTGTTCTTTTTCACCGCAGTTGGGAAACCATCTTTGAATTAAGACCCCAGCATAATGGGCTGAATCTGCCAGAAGCACAAAACCTAAGGCATTCTCCAGAGCACTGGTTTGCTTGACTTCAGAGAGGAAAATGGCCTTTGGAATACAAACAGGTTTACAGTACACATGCTGTCATCTTTAGACTGCAAGCAAAAAAATGCTGCCAACCATGTGTAACAAACCAAAGTGAAATGGTTCCAGTTGGGAGGTCTGGATTTCCTTTCCTGTTTCGTTTGTTTGTCAAATGAAAGATTGGGATGCTATTTGAAACCAGAGCAGATGATTCTTGGTGAAAGCAGAGGCTATTATTGTAAAACAAATTTAACCATATGAAATGATAGCAATTATGAGTTTTCAACAGTACTCTGGTTAAATAGCGTTCCTCTATGGCTCCTTGTCTAATAGCTGTGAAATTTCTAATAAGATTTTAAAAAATAGATGTAAAGGATTGGGCATATTTTAATTACATTCACCTGTGAAACTCTAGTGGGTGTTTTGTTTGTTTGTTGTTGTTAGATTATAGAATTATAGCAAATATTTAAATCATAAGGCCTGATACAGTCATCATGTCAAAAGACAGGAGCTGAAAGAGTAGTTGCAGCTAATAAAAGCCGTAGGTCCCCCTGCCTCAATCTGGTAGGTCTGTAAGCACCGTGTATGAGGTGCCTGATCAGATACGCTCACAGCATGTCTTAGGTTGTGGAGCAGACCTCTGCCTGGCCATGAGCATGCTGATAGGGTGTGTTTAGGCATGCTGACAAACGTTACATGGAGAGCTTGTTGGGGAGCAACTACAAGATGAACAAATCGGTTCTTGTTTCACAGGCTGTGGGTCTAGGGCCCACTTGCATGCTTCCTTAAAGTAGAAAAAATGATGTAGGGGAAGTAGCACATTCTGCTGATGTTAAAATATTGAAATCTGTCATACCAGGCCAAAAATTCTTAACCTTTTGAGAAAACTTTCTCCAAAGTTCTTTCTTCCATGTTATTCTTTTAGCAATAAAATTTCTAAATGCCTTGATGTATGAAGTTGGTGCACTAGGAGGGTGGGCTGCTGGCTGACCTCACTGTGAAGCCTTGCAAACCTTTCTCAGGGAAAGCCCAGCGTTCATTGGTAGTGTGCTTTGTCAACATATTAGTAAAGTGCAAGGGCTTATTGTATTCCTGTGAAGTTTTTGAAATTCATCATTTTAGACTTTATAAACAATCTGTATATATGATAGATACCCAGCTAGCACAAACTGTTGGCACCTGACTGCTAACCTAAAGGTTATTGGTTTAAATCCATCCAGTGGCACTGAGAAAGAAAGGCCTAGCAATCTACTTCTATAAAGATTACAGCTGAAAAGAGTCTACAGAGCAGTTCTACGCTGTAACATAGGGGTCACTATGAGTTGGAATCAGCTCAGTGGCAATGGGTTTGTTTTGTTTGGTATGTCTGATAGAAACAGCTAATAACATTTTAAGGGAAATTGAAGCTTATTTTTGTAGTTTTCAGTTGTTTGTACTGAGTAAAAAACTATTGCCTTTTCCAATTGCTGTTTCCCAAGTATTTTTCAGAGTAAGGAAATTAAACTTCAACAATGACCTCATATAAAATTAATCAATAAAGCATTGAATTTAATTTGTGTTGTACACACATTCTGCCATTCTGCTATGCCTAAATTGATCATAGAACTTTCCAAAATCTACTTAATTTACATCAAGATGGATGCTTTTATAAATACAAAAATTTTTACAGATACATATGACTATTAATGCTATGTTTCTTTGAATTTTGTGCATGAAACAATCTTGCCTCTGACTTACAATTAATTGGAATTTTTCTATGGTAAATAGCTTGGGCCTTGACTCCAAAAATTTTTTACTTAATGTGGACCTTATTATGAAGAAGGCATTTGGAAGTTGTTTAGGAAATGACATCATAGAATTGATCTCCAAGTATATTAAAAATCTGTTATGAACTAGCTTTAATGAAAAGAAAATAGAAAAGATAGTTACCTACATAGCTTACATTCAGTTTTGATAATTATATTTTGTAGAGATGGTGATGAAAGTCTAAGGTAATTTAACCCGCTATTCTGGTATTTGAACTCTACTCCTATCTTTGTCACTTTCTCCTTTGCTATGAACTATAGTCCCTTGAGCTTTTTAGTGTTTTAAATCCACCAAATGCTCTCTCACCTCAGAACTTTTGCATATGCTTCACCCCCACCCCCATGAAAATGCTTCAAAGAGCTCTGTAGAGTGGAAAGCCCTGGTGGTGTAGTGGTATAAAACCTTGGCTGTTAACTAAAATGTTGGCAGTTTGAACCCACCAGCCACTCCATGGGAGAAATATGTGTCAGTCTTCTTCCCTAAAGATTACAACACAGACATCAGTGGAGCAGTTCTACTCTGTCCTGTAGGGTCACGATGATTCAGAATCTACTTGATGGCGACAGGGTTTTGGTTTTCTGTTGAGTGAATCTTTCCCTGGGCCATCATGCTCTGCCTTGGGACTGATTCTTTTCTTGCATTTACCAAAATTTGTAATAAGTTTATTTTCTTATTTAATCTCTTCTTCTCACTAAACTGTGAACCACATGATCTCCCTCTGTCTCACTTCCTATGTTTATCTATATTCATACTATCTATATATGTTGTTGTTGTTGTATGCCATCGAGTCAGACCGACTCATAGTGACCCCTCCTTGGGTTTCTGAGGTGGTATCACTAAGGAAGTAGATTGCCCCACCTTCCTT